TATAGTGCACAAAGCTACGAAAGAGGATCTTGTACTAACATGTAATTTTATTTCCCTTTTTATGGAAAATATAGCAGTGTTTTAAATGAAGTTAAGGTTTGAAGCAATAGCTATAAATGCAATAAAGTGGGGTGACTTAACTAGGAGCGGTGGTTAATGGTCCCCAGGGAGTGGGAGATTCTGTGGTACTTGTTGAAAACCCACAGCTCAGCCAGTGCTGGACAAACCTTATCATCACATGTCCCGTCCTTCACCTCTGCTGTCTTTATCATCGTTTGTCCTTATTTCTTTAATATATTCATTATCTCGCCTGAGCTCATGTCTGGTCCTTTCCAGTCCTGTCCTTCTAACTTTATCTCCAGACTTAAAGGACACATTTAAGAGGTACACGATTTATGTAAATTAAACTTTAATTTGGTTGTTTAGTAATCAGGTTTCAGTCACTGACAGTGCCAGTTCAGACTCACAGAGAATCACTGAAACCTACTGTGGGTCTAAGAAACAGACATTCATCTACATTTATAAACTGTGTTAATTTAGATATACAATTAAAATAAATAAAAACTATAAAATAGTTTTAAAGATGTGCAATAATTAATTAAACTTGATGAATAAAATTTAAAAAATAATAAATGATTTTCAACTGTCACAGCACCCTCTAGTGGACTGTGAAGTACTGCAGGTACTCTGTTTGTGAGCATTGATTATTAATAATTCGATGATGTCATTGACCAATAACCTCTCTGTAGGTGAGAGGGTGAAGGACAAACTACAGAGCATTAATGCACCTACAGTATATGGACGACAGAGCTTAGTGTAGAGACAGACTGACGGACAAACAAACTTGTACCACATTAGTACAAAAGAACAAGCGTGTATTTAATTGATTGATTGATTGTTTCCCTATGCTGAAAACCGAAAGTAGAGAATCATTGGGCCTTAATTTAAAACATAAAAGTAAAAAAAAAATTAAAAAGACAAGGAGTTGTTTCTGGGCTGAAATCCATGCAGTGTGGTGTCAGAATTCACTCCCTCAGGAACAACACACAGGACAAGACAGTGATTCAGGCATTCATATCTGTAACACACACACACAAACACACACACACACCAAAGAATGACATATGCGCTGACACCTGATCTGTATGACTCATGCAACACATAAGCAAAAAAATGAACCCGCATTTAAGAAAATAAAGGACGGAGGGCGGTCACTATGACGGAAAATGTCACTGGAATAAAATGCAGTGCAAGTGTTGAAGTTATAATTACAACCATCAGACCATGAAGTGCACGTCGGCTGCTGTTCATCTTCACAGCCATTGATAGAAAACCCATTAGTGACATCCAGGCAAATTTCAAAGTTTGACCTGCTCTTCATCGATGATATAAGACTAAATAAAACATTCAGATTCAAATTATATTTTGTTATGTAAAATTTGCATTGTATATATCTGTTTATAAGAGTAGATTCTAATACATTTACTGGTCTTACGTATATAAATGCACAACGTTTAACCAGTGATCAATTGAATGTGTAATATTTGAATGCATCTAGTTTTTGAAGTAAAAAAACACACAGTAAAATATAGCTTTAGATATATATATAAAATGTATATGTAAATATATATTAGTAGGAAGGAACTAAAAAATTGATCAAAGTTATTTAAAATTAAAGCTATATATTGGACAAGTGATGCTATTAGAAAAAACAATACTGCATTTGCCAATACTATATAAGAGCTGCTCCGAGTTAGGTGACAATAATGTCAAAATAATATTGTATTTTACATATATTATTATATTTTATATAATTCTTCAAACTAGAAATAGGTAACAACAAGCTCCCAGATAACAAAACAGACTATTACCTAAGTAATCTAAATGTAATAGAAATGGCTAGATAGCTAAATAGCTAGATAGGAAATAGCTATGTAGGTGAATTAGCTGACCATCATATAGTTACCAATGTATCTGTAGATAGATAGATAGATAGATAGATAGATAGATAGATAGATAGATAGATAGATAGACAGATAGATAGATAGATAGACAGTGTGATGCTCTAAACACCTGCTGTGTTTGCTTTACACTGGTGCAGAAGATATGATCCAATTAAGTGGGTCTGTGAAAGATGACTTCACCCTGTTTCCCGTTTCCCCAACCCCCACCCAGATCAACCCCCAACTGCCAGCCCCCCCCTTAAACCTTCCCTCCCCTCCACTAGGCCAGCACCACCTATGGATTACACAGCAGCATGACGGGATGTCTTTGGACCAAATTAGCTGTCAATGAACCCCCCTGCACCAGAGAGACAGTGGGGTAATTTAATCAGCTGGCTGCAGCCTGCAGCAGAGCAGGTTTACAGCAACAGTTCAAGTGTTCTGTCTGTTAGAGCAGACATTTGTTTCTTTCATTGGTTGAGATAGAGCATAAGGATTTTAATTTGTTTACAATTAACAATTGCAAGAATCCAGTGATGATCAAGGTAACGTTTGTCACTAAAATATCGCTGCCTTTTGCTTGTCAAACTGTCAGCACCATTGTGACAGATGTTTTTCTACTGGATTAAGTTAAACGAAGCCTAATCCCAATCAGAGGAGATTAAAAATAACACAGATCACTCTAATCACTGGATTAGACAGGCTGTCACTAAATCAAAACCACTTGTGATGCACTCACAAAAACACCAACAACATTCATATGGTCATAGTAGAGAAAAAGGGACAAATATTCAATAATGAATAGCGCCAGACACGTTATTATTAGCCAGCTAGTAGTCCAGTAATGACCGAGAATGCGTTTGCAGAATTCGCTCCTCACAGGGGAGACTAGTTAATGAAATGGCAGTTAGTAAGTTAAATGCAAACACACACATAGGCATGTGTGTACACAGTGATTGGTGTTACAGTGTAAATAATGCAGTGACACAGTGAACAAAAGGCCAGCTGTCTCTGCAGAGGCTTGACAGGCGTCTATGAATATTCATCACAGCAACAGAGTGACAGAAGGTGAGGGTGGGTGTGTAAAGCACTATTCTGTACATTATGTAAAGAGAATATATTTCTATTAAATAAGTATAATAATAAAATAATTAACCACGTGCTTAAATATTGGGAAGGACATTTCATGTCGTCCAAAACTCAAAACTGCAGTACAATATGATTTATATAAATTGAAATTCTATAAAAAATACTATCAAGCCAGATGTATATAAGAATATTCACTAGGTAAACGCTGTGAACAAGCAACTAGTGTAGTACCACAAATAACCAAAAGGTGGTAGTAAACACCAAATTATATAATCAATATGTCATAACGTTAAAGTTCAAATAAAAGTCGGGTAAACAACATGCAGGCCTACAAATCAAAATTATGCAGATAACAAATGTAGCATGCCAGTAAAGTAAGTTTTCTTAGTTTTTTCACTGTCATGCGTGTGCTTGCTTTCAAGTATTAATTGTAACATTAGTAGAATTGGTTTAAATCTTGTATTAACATAGTTAGTTTAACTATCAAATGTCGTCCTTGAAATGTTCGAATTAATGTAAATATAATTCATAACAGAGTAAATTTTAGGTCTGTACGTTAGCAATACAATGGTACAATGATAAATTCGTAGCCAGAAATGAACCCCAGAAGATACAGACAGAAGTTGGGATAAGTTTTAACGGTAAAGAAAACGTGTTCATTTATTGAATGGCTCCTTTCAATAAGTGAACATAAATGAACTATTTTAATTTTTTTCTGCTGTTCAGGAAATAAGCTTCAGCTTCGTCCGTGTATCTTTACTGGTGTTATTAAAGTCTTTTTTATAACAACACTAATATATTGGCCATATATTTGGGCCTTGAGTTAAACAGTTTGGTTAAATAATAGGTAAAATTACACGTCCAAATGTGTGTTTTGATTTTCCCGGATATGGCGTCATGACAGGGGCTGATTGGCTAAATGCAGGGACACGCGGCGTTCCCAGGACAACGAGTTTTCAAACAAGTGTGGAAACTCAGCGACAGCAGCTTTAAGGACATGTCTGCACTTTTACTGTTTTCATTTAAAGTCGTTCACACTGTACGAGTTTAAATATATAAAAACGGGGGAATTATCCACAAACATGGTAAATTAAACTTTAACTTTTTATACGCCGCGTCTGTGCTACTAGCCTGGATTAGCTTCTACATGCGATACCATTGTCTCCATTGTCTTTCTAGTATAACAGAATGTGGGTTGTTTTTTTATAACACAGTATAACAGAATGTGGGTTGTTTTTTTCCTACCTGGACAGAGCGGTTATTGGTCCTACAGTCAGCAACAGGAACGGCTCAGGACCCAGCGGCAGAATCAGGAGCAGCGGCGACAGGAAGAAGTCCAGCGTGTGGACAGAGAGCGAAAGCTGCTGGCCTGCCTCAAGGAGGAGGACAACTTTGAAAAGAGGAGAAACCTGAGACAGGTGCAGAAGCAGCTATGGGAAACACACAGGGAGACAGTCAGGATCCAGGTGAGAGTGCTCTGTTACACCGACGACACAGACCGGTTCTACTGTAAAGAACTGATTTAAAGTGAAGGAGTTTTGTCACAGACCAGTGAACAAGTTTTATTGGACCTGCATTAAAAAAAGAAGCTCATTAAGAGCTTTAAAACTAAACTCTAACTTAAACTTTAAGCAAATACAAATATCCTTAACGTATGTTGGATTTTAGTGTGAGCTATTTTGTAGTCAAATTTAAATTTTCTGGTGGTAATGTAAATGTTTGCAACTCTAACTTATTTTGTAGTCAAATTTTAATTTTCTGGTGGTAATGTAAATGTTTGTCATTTTTTTTTTGGTAATTTATTTTTGTTTGCTTTAATTATTTCACAAATTGTAATTTCTAGCCCTGATGTTTATTTATTTTTGCTACTTTTTTAGAATTTGGCTAACCTTTAGCTAAAATCCACCAAACCTAGTAGCTACATAATCTATAGATATTTTTAGACAACATCTCTGATTTGATTTTTAACAACGTTATAATATCACTGGATATTTGTACTTGTTCATGTATGTATTTCTGGACCAACATTCTATTACATTATGTTTGCAAATTATGTGGTTTTAGTGATTTTGTTATATTTTTGTGTTTTTTTCTTATTAATTTCACAACTCTCTAATTAAATATATATTCCAGGCAGAGGAAGAAAGACTAAACAGAATAAAGCAACAGGAACATGAAGAGAAAGTGGCTAAAGAGTTGAGTCGCATCAACTTTGAAAAGCAAAGAGAAGAGAAAATGAAGCAACAGGTCATTGAGAACAGGTAACCGTACTTTCCTCATTACAGGCCAATAATATGATACATTATTGTAGGATATTGTAATACAGTTGTTTCTGCTCAGCTTTTATTTACTGGAGTTCTATCCCGTTGTATCCTTGTCAGTCTGGAGCTCAGAGAACTGAAGTCAAAACTGAATTCTGCTTACATGAACAAGGAGAGAGCTGCACAGATCGCAGAGAAGGAAGCCATTAGGTTTGAGACGATGGTATGAAAATATCCTTCATTGCAGGTTTTCTTTTCTTGGGAAAACACACATATTGTATCTGAATGCAACTGGTATCTGTCTTTAGCGTGAGGAGGCAGACGTTGCTCGCCAACGGAAAAGTGAGCGAGAGCAAGCGCACATGGAGCAGCAGAAGTTGGAACTGAAACGCCTGGAGGAGCAGGTGCAGTATCAGCGAGAGCTGGAGCTGCAGCTCGTAGAGAAGGAGCGCAGGAGACAGGAGGCGTACGAAGAGTTCCTCAAAGAGAAGCTCCTGGTGGACGAGATCGTCAGGAAGATCCACGAGGAGGATCAGAGGTGAGTCATTTGTCATCATTTCTAGCTCTGTTGTTAAAACAAACATAATGTATTAAATCTTTGATTGAAGGGAGAGGCAGCTGAAAATGGAGAAGGTCAAAGCCACGAAGCAGCACGTTGAAGAGTTTAAGAAACAACAGGACGAGTGGCGGCGCATGGAGCAAGAAAGGATGGAAGCTGAGAACAGACGCATCATGGAGTTCGTGAGGCAGCAGCAGCTGTTAGAGGAGAGCAGAGTGGCCAAAATCAGAGAGAGAGAGGAAGCCAAAGAGCAGCTCCATAAATTGGTTGAGATCGATTTATTTATTTATTTTTGTGGCTGTTGTTTTCGTGACTGCTTTTAAGTTTTACTCATATTTAACTGAACTGTTTTCCTTTTTAGCTCTCCAAAAAGATTGAAGAGGAGAGGCAGCAGCGTGAAGAGATGGAAAGAGTCCTGGAAGAACTTTATTTTGAGGAACGAGAAGAAGCCAACAGGCTGAAGGACATTGTAATAACTGTTATAGCAGAACAGAGTAGCATAAATTTTGATCTCATATCACACTGATGGATTATTCTGTTTTCCTGTGGCAGGAGGAAATGGAGAGGAAAATTCGACAACGGTTAAAGATGCAGCAAGACCAACAGGATCAGCTGGCTTTTAAAGTGATGCTACGTCAGGCAGAGAGGGAAGAGGAGGAGGCCTTTAGGAGAACCATGATGGCCAAGTTTGCAGAGGACGACCGGATAGAGCAGATGAACGCCCAGAAAAGGCGAATGAAGCAACTGGAGCACAAACGAGCAGTGGAAAAATTGTTAGAGGACAGAAGACGGCGGCGTCAGGCAGACATGGTAGGATTTTCAGACATTGACTTATTAAGTTTGTGCACTGTCATTGTAAGAAAATGAATAAAATACAAGTTCAAATCTGTACGTCAGCACATCATCAAGGTGGCCTGGTGTTTTGACATTATTTTAAAAATGAATTTCCCAGGAAGAGGAGGCTAAAGAAAATGAGAGAGAACAGCAGAAGGAGGTGCAGCGGCGACAGATCATCGAGCAGGAGAGACAACATCTTCTGAAGCGACATGCTGCACAACTCCTGGGGTATTTACCAAAGGTATGAGGGCCTGTGTGTATAATAAGTCACTTTACACAGCTCAGGGTTTGATGACGGACACACCCTTGTGTCATCTTTGATGTTGACTCTGGTTTTAGGGCTTGCTACATGAAGAAGACCTGGAGCATTTCGACGAGGACTTCAGGAAAAACTTCAAACCAAGTCATGATGAGGACGCCTCAGAAGACAGCTGGTTAGATGATGGCGGACTGCAGTGAATATTCAGTTTTCACAAAGTCTGACCTAGAGATTAAGAACTCCATGTTTGTGAATGAGAACAGCTTCATTAGGTCAATGAGGCTTCATGAAAGGGAGAGAATTTCCCATTTCTTCTTAAAAGTATAGTTCCACAATAACAACTCTACATCAACTGTACATGTAGATTATCCTACCTGTGGTGTTCGTCACTACCCTTACTATAAAAATATGTATTTTAAAATTGACTATGTATTTTTAAATTATAATTGAAAACATATAAGACTTGTGATCACCCTGACTGTTTTTCTGTTACGTTGATTCTCCCCCCCCCCCTTTTTCCTAATTTCTCACATTTATTTAAAGGCTATTTTTCTCAATTGAAAGAATGCATTGCATTATTACTCACCAGATACAAATACATTTTCCCCCTTTTTCCTAATTTCTTACATTTATTTAAAGGCTATTTTTCTCATTTAAAGGCATTATTACTCACCAGATACAAATACATGTGTTCATTTTATTCGTTATTCTTATTCTTCAAAACTGCAACACAACAGTAACTGCAGAATTTGGGTGGTTTATTCTGTTAAAACATAAATAAACTTTTAAAACATTGAAATTCAGGAAGTTGCCTAAAGCAGGAAGTTCCCTTATAGACATAGACATCAACGGGAACTTGGATGTTTGATCATTATGAATCTATAGTATTATTGTATTATCTTTGCCCGAAAATATATACTTTTTATTGTCGTTTCGACTGTTATGGGGCGTGGTTTGACGTTTTATTATGGCTTCACCTTATCAGAAGCAGTATTAATGGGGCACGTTTTAAATACCGCCCTTAAACGCATCTGATTGGTTGATTTGATGACGTTGGCGTTCTTCGTCACCTGATTTGACAGCTCCACAGTCAGTTAGTCACTTTGGCAGTTGCTAGCTACACCGTGTTAGCTGTGTGGAAAACGAAACTGGCTCATGTCTGACTTTTAGACAAAATCAAGGGAAAACGAAAAGAAAACCGTTACAGGAAACCACCTTAAATCCATACGGGTGTTTACGGTTTGAAAAGCAGAGGCTGCGGCCACAGAGGGGGGCAAACACGAAGGTAAGACTACGCAGCGGGATTTGGGAGGAGACATGTTTATTTTGTTCTGTTTTTTTTTTTTTTGTTTTGTTTTTTTTAAGTAGGAGGAGGCCTTTGCTGTCAGACCACGACAACAACAACTGAACAATTTCTCTGGCTGACGCTTTACTCTAGTCTGGTGGTCATCAAAAATCACATTTATATTTTACCGTTTGACGCGTGCTTGATGTAGATTGTTGGTCGCACCACAGTCTGTTGTGGTGCTGTAGTGAATCTTTTACCTCTTTCTTTTTTTTATCCAGGAATGTGGAGAAGACACCAGAGGTGGGGAGGAAGACCTGGACTGATGTACAGGTAACATGTTTCTTCAGCACACATGCCCTTTACAATAGGTTTGGGTGAGGTTGAGGTAAAACATGCAAGAATTTCGAATTAGCTGCAGGCGGTTTGTTATGAACAGAAATACGTCATAAATCAAATGTATCATGTGTTAAATTGTCTTTCATCGCTGCCGTCTATTTTTATTCAGTGAATACTGTTTTGTGTGCACTGAGCCAAACAGTATAATGGCTAAGGTTTTGACTAATTCAGTACCACTGTCTCAGTAGGTCATCTGTGAGGTGACATAATGAGTCAAAGTTAGATCAACAACTCCAAATAGTTCTGCATAAATATACATAAACTTTCACTTTTATTATTGATTTCTATATGTGTGAAACCTTTGACCTATTCTGTTCTCCAGACTGTAGCAGTGGGTTTGCCTACTCAGTGAGACAGGAGCTGCTGTCACTATGGCACAGTTTGACACAGAGTACCAGCGTCTGGAGGCGTCCTACAGCGATTCTCCCCCCGGAGAAGAGAACCTGCTGATGCATGTGCCAGAAGGAGCCAAATGTAAGAGACATACTGTAGATTATGATCCTGTGAAGAACAACAAGGAACATTATCACTAAAGGTTCATGTTTTTTTGCAGCCAACTGGCACCACATAGAAAACCTGGACCTGTTCTTCCAGAGAATATCCTTTTACAAAATTGATCGAACATAAATCGCTGCTTTTTTATGATGATATAATGATGTTTGGTGTTTTGCGCTAATCCTTGACAATCTCCACGTCTATAATCTGCATCAGAAGAATGGTTTCACCTGTATGCTGCTGGGAGAGATCTTTGAGTTGGTGTATGTAACATATCCTTCCACATCTCATTTTGTGCTAATTTGTTGTGGCATGAGAGTTGTTGTTTTTTTAAATAATTCCCTCTGTTTCTTCTCCTGCTTGTTCTGTTTTCATGCAGTCAGTTAATTTTTGTGGTCGGCTTCACGGTGTTCCTGGCCAACTGTGTGGATTACGACATCCTGTTTGCCAACAAGTTTGTGAATCACACTGATTCATCTAAAGTCACCCTGCCTGATGCCTTTCTACCAGTCAACGTCTGCAGTGCACGGTGAGGATGACCCCTTTTTTTTTTTAATTTTATGTACCTAATGAATTTTAGCCTATTGACAATAGAGTCCAGTTTCTAACTCAGGAATAACGTTTTAGAAAAGTTAACCCTTTTAAATTGTGTTCTTTTCAGTGGGTTTGTTTGTGTTTGTTTCACTGTGTTTTTATTTCTTTACAATGTCATGCTCTTTTTGCTGGAATGTTGCCACACTTTTTGTTGTCATACACATGAGGATCTGAGCTGAGGAGTGTCTGCTTTGCATTTTGGAAAATATAAAATGTTGGGGTTTTTTTTCTATTTTAGCATCCAGGAAAATGTTTTCGTGATTTTCGTCCTGATCATTTCTGGAGTGTTTTGGCTTCATCGTCTGGTCAAGTTCATCTACAATGTCTGCTGTTACTGGGAAATCAGATCTTTTTATATCAATGCCCTCAAGATGTCAATGGTGAGTGAAAGGACCTCACATTTTCTTATGGTTTATAACCATCTGTTAGAATAACATAACAAGGTTTTTTTTTCCTCTGTTTACCTCTCAGTCAGAACTGCCTTATGCAACATGGCAGGAGGTCCAGGCCAGAATAGTAGAGATCCAGAAGGAACACCAGATCTGCATCCACAAGAAAGAACTCACAGAGTTGGACGTTTATCACAGAATTCTGCGCTTTAAAAACTACATGGTTGGTGAATTGGGGTTCAGATGCTGTGCACTGTGCAAAATTAGTCGAGTTAAACACAGATGCAGGTAAATGAGAGGTAATGTGGTGACCTGAAACCAAAAGATATCTGCTCTTCTCTAGGTTGCCATGGTAAATAAATCACTGCTTCCTGTGCGTTTTCGGCTTCCTGTACTCGGGGAGTACGTGTTCTACACTCGGGGTCTCAAATACAATTTTGAGCTCATCTTCTTCTGGGGTCCAGGTGAGTTCATGCCCACTGTGATCGTGCCGTGTCTGTTTTTTATTATTTACTTAAAAAATTGCCTCTATTCTATCTCTATTCTGGTGTGAAATAGTAAATAAAACCAATGCTCCTCTGTAGGATCACTGTTTGAGAATGAATGGAGCTTAAAAGCAGAGTATAAAAGAGGAGGCAACAGGCTTGAGCTGGCTGATAAACTGGCGTCCCGTATTCTTTGGATTGGCATCGCCAACCTGCTGCTGTGTCCTGTGATTCTAGTCTGGCAGATTCTGTACGCCTTCTTCAGTTACACTGAGGTGAAAACTACAGAGATATTTTTTTAACTTTAACGACTCTCCTTTTCTTTTGTTACCAGGGTAATAGTTTGCTGTGTGTTTCCGCTGTAGGTGATCAAACGAGAGCCTGGTTCTCTGGGAGCCAGATGCTGGTCTCTGTATGGACGCTGTTACCTGCGTCACTTCAATGAACTGGACCATGAGCTCATGTCACGTCTGAGCAAAGGTTATAAGGTCAGTGAAATGGCTTAATTTAATCTCAGTTGTTTTGTTAAAGCAGCTGGTAAAGAATAGTCAAAAAAATTACCATCACTGACGGGCCAAACAGTTCATAATTATAAAAACAGTTAACATGTGTTATATAGATACACGATTTGACAATACATGTATCAGATACATGATCTGAGTTTATGATATAAGTTCAATGGTTAAAAATGTTAAGTGTACTAGAATTGATGTTTTATGTGATTTTGTGTATGATAAAAGAAGTACTGGCCCTTTAAGACACCAAATATGCGTTATATATCCTGTTAAAATTTGCAACATGCCCTCAGTGTTACGTAAGCACATGGTTTTATTACAAATTCCTTCTGCGATTACAACAATTGTATTAATCAGCCACATTTCTTTTGTCTGTTTTTTTGCAGGCTTCCTCCAAATACATGAACTGTTTCCTCTCACCGCTGCTGACAGTGGTTGCCAAAAATGTAGCCTTTTTTGCCGGTTCTCTGCTGGCTGTTCTAATAGCCCTGACCATCTATGACGAGGATGTTCTCGCAGTAGAACATGTCCTGTCGTCAATTACCTTGCTGGGAGTGTGCATCACTGTCTGCAGGTCAGGATTATCGTCAGGGTGTTGTTCTGTCACCTTTATTTTTATCTCAATAGAACAAGGACTTCATTTGAAACTGTCATAATTTTTCTGCCAATGCACTTTTCTTGTTACTTACGTCTTTATTTACCTCCTCCTGCTTCAGGTCGTTTATTCCTGATAAGCACATGGTGTTTTGTCCTGAGCAGCTGTTACGGGTCATCCTGGCTCATATCCACTACATGCCCGACCACTGGCAGGGCAATGCACACCGATATGAGACCAGAGACCAGTTCTCACAGCTCTTTCAGTACAGAGCAGTGAGTAGAAAGAAAAAAAAATCCTTCTTTTTATTATTTTGTATTTATTCATTATAACATACCATAACAATGAACTGTTTTTGTCAAGGATATCAGTATATACAACTGCAGCTTTTAGTTTCCTGTTGACTATATTGTTGATGTTGGTCTTCCAATTTCACCACAGTATCTTTAGATGTTTTCTCCACTGTGTGTGACTAAACACTTTACCGTTTGTTTCCAGGTGTTTATTCTCGAGGAGCTGCTGAGCCCGGTCGTGACTCCCATTATTCTCATCTTCAGTCTGAGGCGAAAGTCTCTGGAGATCATTGATTTCTTCAGGAACTTCACAGTGGAAGTCATCGGTGTGGGCGACACCTGCTCCTTTGCCCAGATGGACATCAGGCAGCATGGACACCCTGCGGTGAGGCACTCCTTGATTACATACAAACATGTATTTTTACTGTGTACTGTCAATTAATGTCAGCGTAATTCATCTGCATATCTATGTCTGAAATCGTCTTCAGTGGCTGTCAGAGGGGAAGACGGAGGCATCCATCTACCAACAGGCAGAAGATGGAAAGACAGAATTATCGCTCATGCGTTTTGCCATAACTAACCCCCAGTGGCAGCCGCCTCAGGAAACAACGCACTTCATCAGCCAGCTGAAGGAAAGAATTCACAGAGAGGCTACTGGTGTTTCATCAGAAACACACCCACTCTCCCTATCAGAGTCTGAGGTCTGGAGATAAACTCAAATTCCTCCTCTGCTTCACAGAGTGCCAGAATTATTTCTTATCTCCTTATTATTTCTTATCTACTCATTTTTTTCTGTTTTGTTTCTCTTTCTTTCTCAGCCGAAGAGCCTCGTTGCAAACCTCTTGGCAGGTCCCTCAACACTGGGCAGTGTTCATTTTGGCCGGGAGAGCTATTTAATCAATCAAGCAGCAGCAGGTGTTGGTGACAGAGCCTCCGCACTACGATCGCTCTCCCCAATCAGCAGCAGTTTGCACCTGAGAGGGAGTTTGAATGCAGCGCACAGGACGGCCAGCTCTCACACATCTGCCATGAACAAAACAATGGCAGGATCCGGGTGAGAAAAACTGATCCCGATAATGTTAATGTTTGTTTATACTGAAAAAGTCAACCTGGAAGATCACTTTTATATATTTGTACATTTAAAATATACGTGTATTATTACTTGACAGTACAGTTAAACAAAAAAATCTAATCCACTGAAATAATTAGATTCTCTCTATCACTCAACCTTCTTATCTTTTTACCCCTTTTTTTCTTTAATTACTTCACTGCTTTTGTGTAGGACTGATGCCAGAACTGTGAGCTCCGGCAGTAGTGCATGGGAGGGGCAACTCACCAGTTTGGTTCTGTCAGAGTATGCATCCACTGAGATGAGCATCCATGCACTGTATATGCATGAGGTAAATGTGTTCTCTATAATCATCCATACAGGACAATATAATGTTATGTTTATTATCACTACTACAGCCTCTGTGTTTTTGTTCACTCAGCTCCATAAACAGCAGTCACGTGGTGACTTGTCCCGTCACACCTGGCACAGGCAGGAGAGCGATGAGAGCAGCGACAGCATCCCCGATGAAGTGAGGAGCCACAACCCTCAATCTAGACATTTCCCCCGCTCACATACTTTTCCCACCACCGTTTCCAGTCCTACTGCCATTCCCGCTTCAGCTTCAGACATCAGCAGTACCGCCATAGGCCAGGAGGGGGTACCATCCCTGGGTGGAAGCCATCAGCAATACAGTGAATCAGCTACAGGTACAAGTGTGGTTACATGTGTTGTTTATTAACTCTCAGATTCTATAGGGATGTAAATATTTTCACTTTTGTATTATGCGATATTGATAATCATCAAAAATGTGTATCATTATCATATAATTAATGAAAAGATGTAACTATAGCGTATGTTCTTATATTGAGTCTTTTTTAAGGTATTCACAGTTTAGACATTGTGTTGAAAAGTATCCATTTTCCTCCTTAAAAGTTGCAATGTAATTTGCAGGAACATGCGGTGCCGGGGGGAGAGTAGTGAGGACAGCCCGTGTCCCTATGGGAGGCTGGGCAGAGGAAGGCCAGGGTGTAGCACGACACCATGGTCCACTACCAGAGGAGAGTTCTGAGGACGAAATGCCTCCTCACATACACAAGGTGAATATGGCTGTTTGTGCAGACCTGCTGGGATGTAATTTCTCCCACCTGTTTGTTACTGCATGTAAAAATATTTTTTTGTTCTCTGTCTTTCATTTTAGATCACGTAACCAAGTAAACAAGCAGCAGCTCCTCATCATCCACCGATAATCAAGCCCGTAACCTCATCATCTACCAAGCTCCTCTCCAGGGGTGACTTTTGATTTGACACAGACGAAGAAGAAGAGTTGGACAAAGCTCCTAACACGTACCGATGCAGTGAAATTGTGTGGGTGTGTTTGACATTATCTACTCTCAAAAGATATAAGAATCAGTCAATCTGCTCTCTACTTCACTTCTGCCTTTTACACACATGTTGAATGAACCTCATTACAGGTAGGGGTAATTTTAGAGAAAAAAAAAATTCCAAAAGCCATCATTTTAAATGTGATGAGCACATTGTCCAAATTACAGTCAACACACAGGACACTAATATGATCCAATTGACTAAATTGTAAATCAAATATTTTTTAAATTTTCAAGCAGAGATTCTAGGTTAGCGTTAGTTTAAGCCATGTCTTTATTGCTTACAATTTTTATCCCAAAGTAAATAGTAGACAAATGAGTTTCTTGTAAGCATGTCATTTTAGCTTGTGGGCTGTTAAAGAAGCACTCAAGCCCAAGTGCATGCCGTCATCCACTCCTCTTCTGAAATGTTCAACTGCAACATATAAACTAACATCCTGCACATGGTTCATGCTCATTAACTCACAGCACGACTTACCTCTGTGTCCGACATAAAGCCACATCTTTTTAAAGGAAATTTGCACTTTAATTATTTGTTAATGCAGATACTGTCACTGATTTTTTTTATATATATATATCTTCGTGTTTATGTGAAGCGGATTCTGTTTGTTCTGTTCTTTTTAATGGATTTAGAATAATGTTCCGTGATGATAGGTGGAAGTGTAGTTTGTTGTGCATTTGAGTTTGAGGTAATTGTGTAATACTGTTGGAGTGATAAGTAATGTCACGCTGAAATGTAGTACTGTAAAATAAGATGAAAAATGATCAATTTGTTCACTTTTGTTGAATATATCTTGTAAATATTTTGTACAGCTGTAATTTCATCCATTAAAGACAAGCCAGTGGTGTGTGTACAGTCAAGAGGCAACATCAAACAAGTGAGGATTATTGATGGTTGACTGAGCTACTCACACACCATCATTATCAGCAAATAACTGTTTTTAATTTATTCACTTTTTTAAAATTGATTAGAATATGTCATATAGGCGTTTACATTTTTTGTAAGAAAAAAATAGAATATAATAAACTTTGGAAGTTTGGAGATTAACGTAACCCTTTTGCAGATGAGAGAAAATGTTCGTTTCCGTTTAAATATGTTAGATACCTGACATATTTTGGCTTTAAAAACAATTTGAACTAATCTCTTCGACGTGTTGCTGCTAACATAATAGCTTCTGGCTGCATCATGTTAATTAGCCGTTAGCCGCTAACTAAACACCGTAGATTTTTACCCATGTCGTAGGTCGCCATAAATCAGCATTGTAGCTACATTGTGAGTTGTTTATAAAATTTAAATTCAGTATCAAAATGTCAAATAAAAAAGGTTTACATAAAACTACAAAGGATTTATTTATAAAGTGTATATTGTAACGCCATGTCAGAGCCCGGATAGCTCAGTCGGTAGAGCATCAGACTTTTAATCTGAGGGTCCAGGGTTCAAGTCCCTGTTCGGGCGTCCGTTTTTTTTTTCGCTTTTCCCCTTAAAAGACATGTTTTTTAAGCTCTTCTTACACGTTAAGCAGTAACACACATCAAAAGTATGTAGTGGGAAGTTGTTCTGGAAACAGCCGAGCACTACATAGAAACAGCCAAAAACACCAATACTAACACAGTAAAGCTAAATACTTAGTTTCCAAAAGAACCAAAACATAAAGCAAAGAACCAGCAAAAAAGAAAAAAAGCAGATGAATGAGCAATAATATAGAGATTTTTTTAAATTAAAGTTTTGCACAGGGTCTTCAGTGTCTCACTGTCTATTCAATGATTTGTGAAGGGTGAGGCTGAGGCATGGTAGGTACTACAAGTGGCACTAGTTGGACAATACGTGGGGCCATGTAGTTGACATAATTAATTGCCACACACCTTGGGAATGGAATCTTACCATGAGTTACAAGAACATTCTCTACTAAAATAAAACTAAATGTCTTTTAGCGTCACAAACACATCGAGGGCAACTGGATGGAGTAGGTTTCTTGAAGATGTTTCACCTCTCATCCAAGAGGAATTTATTTATGTGAGTAGATACCTGGGGTAATAACAGAAACCAAATAGACTATAAAGTATTAACAATCTCCTCTTTGGCCTCCCCCTTTGTCTCCTACCTGGTAGCTCCATTTCTAACATTCTTCTACCAATGTCCCTCTGTCCCTCCTCTGCACATGTCCAAACCATCTCAATCTGGCTTCTCTAGCTTTTTCTCCAAACCTTCCTATCTGTGTTGTCCCTCTAATGACCTCATTCGACACCCTGGAAGTATTAATAATGTATAGTATAATTATTATTAGTAGTAGTAATATTTAGCAAGTTCCTGGTGTTAAGTGACGTTTAGCCATGATGCATTTTATAAACGATGCGCAAACATAAGTCTAACTAAATCTAATGCGATTGGCTTAACTCAAAGACCCGGACGATTTGATTGGTCTGTTTATCTACGCGCCGTCGATAAGGGCGGAGTCCAAATGTCTTGGCGGCCATATTGAATATTATCTGTTGACAGTTGTGCACCTCACAGATTTTTTTTTGTTTTGGCTAACTTGTGCTAAAAGTTGTGCTTTCTATTTAGTTCTTCGTCCTAAGCTCGTCAATGGTTTTGCTTAAACCAAGACATGGATGAAGATGAACGTCAGAGGAAACTAGAAGCAGGGAGAGCAAAGGTTGGTATCTACATTTGAACGCAAGCCAACAGTGTTAATGCTAACAGCCAGCTAACTCTTTTGTCATAGCTATGCATTTATCGCCTGCTAACCCTGCACACTTAACAACCCCCAGAATTCCTTACGTGTGTTTTGTTTGTCGTTGCTTAGATTCTCGTGACTCGTTGAATTAGAAGCATCTACCGTTATGTCGTTACCGCGCAAAAGTACCGCGGATTTAATGTTAGCCAAGTATGGTGACAATCAACAACAATCTGATGTAAAAAATGAACTACTTCGCTAAGGGGTGTCAATCACTTTTTGCACAATTAACCTAATTACAGAACATTCGCATTAAATTACAAAGCACCAAAAATATAATTCTAACGCAATCTAATCCGATACGTTAAATTTGCATCTTAAAACCGTGAATCCATAGTCTGTATTCGGAGGGAACGTTTACTATTTTGGTATGAGCAACTTTCAGACTTGTATTTTATAACAAATAGAAAGGAGTCGCAGTTGTGGACACACTAGTTTCTTTTACAAAGGCTCGACAACTATTATCGGTAGTCGACAAACATTTCGGGGTGACGCTTTTATAAAATAAGAACGTATTAAGAGCTTGATTTAAATGATTGTCCGGTTTCCGTCGGGTTCGTTTTGTAAGGAACAGCTATGTTTATTTTGTATAAAACATAACTAATTAGAAAACTAGGATTATAATTTGATATTAATATGTAGAAAGAATTCATTAATTTCCAAAGGAAAATACATTTTCAGATTTCTCATTGTTTGTTGACCTCGATGTCCTCTTTTAGGTTTTTTTTTTGTTATACACTCTACAGCATGGGTGTCCACACTTAGATGGTGATCTATTCAAATGATCAGACTAGTGATCTACCTTCTTTGAAAAAGTCCACTATATATTTACCCATATAAACTGAACCTATGTTATACATACATGAAATGTTGGACTACTGATTAAAAACATGTAGCTCTATGACACAATACAGTCACTGCTACATACTTTTGAACTATATTTAGATTTAGTATACTGTATATATATTTTGTTTGTTTGTTTTTGCACTCCCTCAGCACTCCCTTTGTGATCTATTGGTAGATCGTGATATACAACACATACTGTAACACTTGTACTGGAAAGAGAAAATGAAGAAAAAAAGTGATGTTAGATGTTCTATTTTACCTTTACTTTTAAGTTGAACACAAATTGCCTATATTTATATTAGTGAGACTCTAAAGATGTGACTCAATCCTGGTATTCCTCATGACAGAAATTATCCAACATGCCACGCAACCAACCGGTAAGTATGTTTTTTAAAACAAGTCACTGGCACAGTTTATTTTTTTGCGTTTTACCTCAAATCATTGGTTTATGGGTGTAGTTTGATTTCACCTTTCTTATTCTCTGGTTATCTTCAGTGGGTATTCAGTGGCTTTTTCCTTCTTAGTGTCATCACGATGCTGTGTAGAAGAGTGGTCTTCTTTAATGAATGATTCCAAATACAATACTCTCTTAAGTATACTGTACAGCGGACAAAATCAGCGGTGCTTTTAATAGCATTTGTGTCTTACTTATACAGTTCCTCTTTATAGGCTTGACAGTGCAATGTCATTGTCGTTTTAGGCCATCAGGTGGTGCAGTCAGCCCAATATTTTTCCTTTTTTTTTTTTTTGCCCTTAAGTTTCATGATTGGTGTTGCCATGGTAATGCAGTGCGGTCAGTTGCCTGTTATGTATTGTGTGCAACACAAAGGTAATTTCTAATTAATTTATCTGCACTGAAAGCATTTATACACATAAGCAATCAAAATTGCATTAACAATTGTTTTAGCCCATGTTTTTTCTTGTGACGTAGAAAACATTGACAACATTTAGTCCAGTGACATCTGTTTGTGCCACAGCAGCTTGTTTCGGCTCATTAGTCTGATTCTGAATGTGAAAATGGCCTTGGGCGAAATACAGCTTATCGAGCTGATGTGTCTCTTGGAGACGTAAGGACTGTTGCAGGCGGAGGGAACGGAGAGTAATATTTCTGGTAAAAAAGAAAAGGCACTACAAAAATAGGTTAATGATGTGTCATGGGAGAAATTTAATTGTAGTGGAGCTAATAAGGGAAAATGAACACCCATAAATCTGACATTATTGATGGTGATGCTTGATGATGCATTCTGTGATATGAGAGTAAAATATGTCTCTGTGGCAGCGGAATAACCATGTAAAAAAAGCCTCTCGAGTAGAGAGAATGTTGTTATGCACTTATTTGTGACTCATCACACAGAGCAACAAGTAGCTCTCCCAAGGCCATGTAATCTCATATTGAATTGAGCATGCACACACTATGCTGCTCACTGAGCTCTGTCGCCTCCTCCTCCATGTCAGTGCATCACTCAGTCTCCACCCTTTTTAGTCTAGACAAATGCCTTCTCGTTACGAACCTTTGTGAATCCTCCGTTCTGAATGTTGGTGGGTGGCAGTGAGTTTTAGGATGACAGGACGTGTCTAATTATCTGCAGCCTAGGAACTAAATGAACCTACAGAACTTAACAGAGCTGACCTAAAGAGAAAGACCTGGACTGTTTGGACATCTGAAAGAATGAAGGTTACTGGATCAGTACCAGTCAATGGCAGAAGACGTGATTGGGTTCCTCTCAAAGTGTGAATGCGTTAATCCGATTTGGAATATTCAAAGAAGAGTGATGCGCTAAAAGAGATCTCTTGGTTTAAGGAGAAACATCCAGGGGAAGATTTCCACTTTTTGTATTACTCCGGAATATGAAGAAAAACTGTTTTCTATGTTAACTTATATAATCGATTCTTGATCTTTTATTAATTTGCAACTTTGCTTTTTTGGTTGTTTTAATGACATCCAATGAGTAAAGACATTTGAGTCTTCACCTTCACCATCACCTTGTTCTCATCTTGTGAAGTTTTGGTTCAGGTTGAGATTCTGGGAATTCTTGTTTCACTTACTTTTGGGCACAACTTTTGATCAATCAAATTTTTTTTTTCACTTTAAGGATTTAAATTGTGTTTGCTCACTTTTTTTTCTGTGCACTTAAATCTGGACTTGAGTTCTCAATCACCTTTGCCTTTTGAAATTCACCATGCTGGTGGTGTGGTGGTGCTTTGTTGCCCTGACCTACATGTCCATTTACCTCTCGCTGTCCTTCCTGCGCAGCTTGCTAGCTTCAGACAGAAGCGGGCGAAAAGTGTCAGTGCGGGGGCGTCGAAAAAGACGTCGAAGAGGAAGGGTCCTACTGTCCCGAAGAATGACGTCTCGACGCAAAATTGTCACGTAGAACCAGCACCTCCTTCAGCAAATGACGCAGAGCTGGAGAGCAAGACCAATCATAACCAGGTACATCACTTAACTAATAGATTTTTTGTAGCTTATAGAAGTGTGAGATTGATCTAAATGAAAAGGTCACTAACTTTCTTCACGCATATGCTCTCAACTGCATGACTTCACTCATTATTCATGGTTCATTTTTCCCAACTCAGTGATTTGTTCTATGTATTGTTATTTTTTCCTCTCTGTGCGGCTTATCAAGTGGTCCGTGCCCCCTAATTAGTAAACATACATTTGGTGGAAAGAAATGGGTCACTTACCATCTTGTTGCCTGTAGAACGTGTTGTCATGGCAACCTGGCCAGGATTAACAGTGGCACAATTTACTGCCTTATAAAAAAATGTGCAAAGTTCACACAGCGCTCTGTGTATCTATATTTTTTAATGTCTGCACATTAGTTGATGCTTCTTTTTTGTTAGAATCAAATAAAGTATTGAAAATATCCTGTATTTATACTTTTGTCTAAGGAGCTCCAGGAACCAGAGAGAGCTGAGCCTGGGCCAACCCAACAACAGAAGGATGAGGCCTCCGACCTGGAGGAAAACCTATCCTCTGGGGAAGAGCTGAGAGATGAGGAGCTGCTGGCACTTACAGATAAAGATCAGCTGAAGGTACTGTATATACAAACATACTTAGGTATTGTAGATTTGCACAAAAGAAGAAAATAATGATGGCATAAATTAAAAATCAGTGTTTATCAACCCCACATGTGTCAAAGCTATTTATAAAACATAGCAAAGCTACATACTGCGTTCTAAATTTCCCAGGTGTTTTATTTTAAATAAATTTAGATGTAAACAAATGTATTAAATGGTTAAAAGCCATGTATCAAATTACATTTATTCATTCTTGTCTTTTTTAACAAGTAAAGCAAGAAAAGCTCAAAACAACCACTACCCCGGACAGACTTAAACTGATGCTTAACTCATCTTATCCCCTCTCTCTCTGTCTTTCTCACTCTCTCTCTCTGTCTTTCTCACTCTCTCTTTCTCACTCACTCTCACTCTCTCTCTGCTAGATTCTTGTGTTGTGTTTACTGAGTATTTGCTCAACATGAGGGGGGTAGCTGAAAAATGACAGTAAAGAGAAATGGAGAAACAACAGAGCCATTCAACTAATTAAAATTACTTACGTCAATTGTAAAAACTCATGTCTGAGCATGTCTTGACTATTTCACGGTCATTAGTTTTGGGGTGAACCTCACTAGAATTAATACGTTTTAGTGAGCCGTAAAATATTTTACAGACATGTTTTTAACTCTATGTCCTTGTGGAAACTAAACTGATTTATTCCTGCAGCAATTGCAGCAGGCTGTGGAGAAACGAAATGAGATAATTGCTAAGCTCAGCTCCAACCTTCAGGATGCTCTTGCCAGCAGAGACCAGGTACAGATGGAGGCCCAGTCTCTAGCTGGACAGATCCAGTCACTGCAGAAACAGCTCCAGCAGGTGAGTTCTAGTTTAGGAAAATAATCAGTTCCTCATGTGAACTTAACAGTGACTGAATGTCTTCTCATTTGTTTTTCATGCAGACCAGTGCAGACTTTCTAAGAATTAAAAGTCAATCAGAGGCTGAAGTCCTTAACACTTGTCGGCAGCAGATGCCAAACAGCAACTCGTCCTTATGTGGAGACCTCAGGCATGAGGACATCGTCAACACTTGTCGGCAGCAGCTGCCAAACAGCAAAGGTGGAGACCTCAGGCATGAGGACATCGTATCAGAGGGATCGGGAAGAGAAGGACCTGTTTCTCGGTCATGTGTTAAAGTCCATGACAATGACATGGAAAATGTTTTGCACAAACTGAGGGCTGAAGTTGAACAAGAAAGACAAACATGCCAGTCATTATCTGCTAAACTAACGGAGGAGCTGGAGAAACACCAACATCTGCTTTCATTGTTGGAACAGGAGAAAAAAGGCAGAGAGGATGAACGAACAGAGAAGGAGTCACAGTTACAAAACCTCAGGACTCAACTGAGCCAAGTCCAATCCCAGTGTGTGGAGATGCAGCAGTACAAAGAAGAAAAGGAAAATCTGAACAGGGAAGTGCTTGAGTTGAAGAAAAGACTTCAGGAGGAGGAAGATGGAGAAAGGAGACAAAGAGAAGAATTGGCCACTTTTGCCCTTCAACTCCAGAGCCTCGAAGAGGAAAGACGCACACAAGACGTGGAGATGAAAAGGCTCAAGGAAGAGCATAGTGAGGAAGTGGAGAGAGTCAGGCACCTCCTGCAGGAGAAGGAGAACGAAGATAAGTTCAGAGAGGACGAGATCATTGAACTGAAAGAATATAAGAACCTGCAGAACAAAGTCGAGGCTGATTTAAGTTACGGTGACGATGTCGGCGAAGGTGACGACCTGACATCGGTGACGGAAACTGGACCTGATCAGGACAGTATGAATGTAGTAGTACCACAGGACCTGATCTTGGAGAAATATTTGACATCTGTTCCTATCGCACACTCTCAGTTTTCATTAGTCAATGAGAGCATTGAACACTGCAGCCAGCTTGACATTTCTGCAGACCAAAGGTAAGAGAATGTACCTTTGCTGTTTGTCCACATCCTTCGGGGTTATATAAATATGCCACTTGTCTTTACATTTCTGACATGGCAAATACATATTTACTTCTGTGTTTCTATGTCTTAGCTTTGAGCTCAACAGTGAATTGTTTGGGGAAGAGCCCTTGTTGTCCATTTCAAGCCGCCCCCTCATTGAAGTCGATGACGTCCAAAACCTCTCTAGCTCACCGTGCTACGTCCCTATGGAGGACGGCTCAAATCCACACTGGCCGCTCAACTCCACCTGTGAAGATCTGGATGAGAGTAAACTGTCAGAGCAGCAGACAGACCTGGAGAAAGTGCTGCTGCATCAGCAATGCGGTGACCTCCACGAGGAGCTGGCTCTCAAGGACAGAGACCTAAATGTCCTGAGAGAAGAAGTTGTCAAGACCACAGAAGAGCTGGAGGAGGCCAGGAGCAGGTGAGGGGTTGATCTGGGCTAGTGGTTGGTTCAAGATTACGGCTTTGATTTGTTTATTTTTTGTCAAATTGTAACCTTTGGTTAACCAGTAAATCTTTTCTATTTAGATGGGCCCAAGTAACGGAAGAGCTCAGACAGGCTCTCTGGGAACTGGAAGAGGAGAAGGAGAAGAGGAGACAGGCAGAGGAGATGACCTTAAACACACACGAACTAGACAGTCTTCAGAATGACATGAGTGTCCAGACAGAGAAAGGAGAAAAAGAAATGGCAGAATTTCACACAGAGAAGGAAGTTGTTAAAAATCTCACACTTGTTTCTTTGGAGAGAGACCTGCCTGGAGAACAGGAAGAGGAGGAGAAGGGGGAGTACAAGGACGCTGTACACCTCTCTGATCAAACACAATCAGAGCTGCTTGTTTCGTCACTGCAGGAAAGCTATGGCAGCAACCAGCTGCAGACACTACAGGTAAACTTAGAAGCTCTGGTTCAGTGAAACTCATTCAGTTTGTGTTTATTTGTAATACTAAAGTTTAATCGTGTTTCTTTCCTGTCAAGGAACATTGTGAAAATCTCCAGTATGACCTTGAAGAAACAAAGTCCAAGCTCAGAGCTGCCTTGTTGACACAGACGACCTCAGATGCAACATTACAAGAGCTCGAGACCACACGTGCACAGGTTCTAAATGTACAAGCAGAGTTGGACAGACTTCAGAATGACCTGGAGAAGAGCCGAATCAATTTGGACTGTGCTGAGAAAGAGAAGGAGGAGTTAGAATCTCAAGTTTTTTGCCTGAAACAAAACCTGGCAAACTTGGAGGAGGCTCAGGCCCAGGTGGTTCAGGAGAAGGAGGAGCACAAAAGAAAAGGTGAAGAGATGGATGAGCGCATTAAACAGATGGAACAAGTGCTGGAGGAGGAACTTGAACAGTTTGAGAATCTGCTAAAAGCCAAAGATATAGAGGTGAGAAAAATTTAAATAAAATAATTGCCCACTTTTATCGTATTTAGTTTTCAGTGCCATTGAGTCTCTTCAATCATTAACAGTTGGTGGAGGAGAAGGAGAAATGGGAGGAAGAGAAGCAGGAGAAGGAGAAAGAGCTGCTGGAGGTGAAAAATCTCTTGGAAATACAGAGGAAAGAAAAGGAAGAGGAGCTAAAGTTTCTTCTGGAGAAGCAGGTCCAGGCTGTAGAGGATGTAGAAGAGAAGCTCAGGTCAACTCACCAACAGGAGCTGAAAACACTGATGGAGAAACATCAACAAGAGGTAGAATGCTTGTTTTTAAAAATTATACTTTATACATCCTGACCAGAATTACCTCAAGTTTCACTTGTTTTCTTTATTAATTTTAAATCCTGTTGTGTAGATTTCAGAGTTAAACATCCACTTGGAAAATGAACTGCTGAAGCAGCGGGCATCTATAGAAGAAGAACAAAAGAGACAGATCAGTCTGATCAAACAGGTAACAATGGCTGAAGATGTGATGAGATTTATTATTTTCCATCTGCTTATACCTTTCATATTTTCATGAAATGTTATATTTTTTAAATATGATTTTCTTGTCTCTTTATTGCGTCTATAGGTGACGGAGCGTGAACACGAGAGGGCAGTGTCAGAGCTGACTGTCAAACACAGTGAGGAGCTCAGTCGTTTAAAGACAGAACTGTCCGTAGAGCTGAGGGAGAGCTTGGAGGCTGCTCATGACGCTGAGCTGCAGCAGGTGCAGGTATGATGTATAAACAGGACACAACGGTCAGAAATCAGAAGGATACATTTTCTTTTAAAAGTATGACCCATGGTAATATACACCTTGGTAAACTATAGTGTCATTTAGTTGGATTAACTGTTAGCCTAACTGAAGAATGTTTCAGAGGAGGAAGTTCTGTGTAAAATATGAGTTTGTTTCATGTTTATACACAATCATTTGACTAGTCATTGGATCATTTCTAGCAGCTGTACAATTTGAATTTTTCTTGAAAAGACATTCCTAATTCTAATTTTCCCAATGTCCTTTAGGCACAAAAACTGATTGAGTTTGAAGCCCTGCGCCTAAGTCTGACCACTGACCACGTGTCTCAACTTGACCGCTCGCAAACCATCCTGCAGGAGGAGCAGGAGTCTGCACTGATTCGGGCTCAGGCCTCCATGAGGGAGACATTTGCCCAGGAGAAAAAATCTCTGCAAGCTGAGCATCAGCTAGAACTGGACCGGCTCAGACATCAGAACCAGGAGCACCTGGAGATGCTGAGAGAGCAGCAGCAAAGAGATTTGGGTAAAGTCCAGACTGGATGTTGTTTTAGTTTGCTGATGTCCTCTTTAATATTCTTTGTAACTGACCAATTTATTTTATGTTTTCATTTTTAGATGAGTTGATACAGACCTGGGAGACTCGTGTTGCTCAGGAAAGAACCTCAATGGAGGAGAAGCATGTCGGGGAGATCGAGGTGATTTTATCTGATCGCTGAAGTCAACAAAGACGGCTTTTGTTTCTAATAAATAGAATATTAAAGATCACACTGCTCTCTTCATTTTCTGTTTCCTTTTTTTTTAGGCACTAAGGTTAAAGTGTAATGAAGAGGCTGAGGCTGCTCGGTCAATCCTCCAGACCTCTCTGTCACAGAGCCAGGACAATCTCACCAACACCCAACAATCCCTCGTAGAAGTGAAGAAATCTCTGTCTGAAGCCCAGTCACAGCTGCAGGAGTCACAGACCAGACTGGAGGAGCTCCAGGTCTCCAGTAAAAAGGAGAACCAAAAACTAGAGGAGGAGCTGAAACAAGCCTGGGCCGACAGAGATGCTGCAGCATGTGAGTCACAGTCATTATTAAAACGCTTTTGAATTTTCTCCATTTAAATAGTAAGTACAAGTGATTCAAATATGTATTCTCCCTTCTCCATCTTTTACTGTATACTTCTGTATTATTGTTGAAAACTGCTCTTACTTGAGCTATTTTTAGATTTACAGGGATTTGTGCAAATGTTACTGTAACTTTTTTTGTATTGTTAACAAAGTTTCTGCACAGTACAGATTTAAAAAAAAAAAAAAAAAACCCTCATTAAATTGTTATTCACTGCTCTTCCCACAACGTCAATTTTCCTCAGGTTCTCTGGAGGAATTGGTTTCCAGCCATAAGGCAGTACTACTGGAGAAAAACCAGCAAGTGCGACACCTAGAGGAGATGGAAAGGCAACTGCAACAAGAGGCGAGTATATACAAATAAGGGAGAATGCATGACCGTTGCAACTTATTGTATGTAACAACTGTAACTATAGAGGTGTTAAGGTTTGATTATTTTCAATAATTTTAACGTTTGTTTTTCTGTGTAACAGGTTCTGAATGTTCAGAAGGAGAAGACCTTGTTGAAACAAAGCTCTGAAGAAGAGGTCAGTGGACTCTGGACTCAGCTGGAGAACATGAGGGCGAGTCGCCAAGAGCTGGGAGGTGAGATTGGTTTAGTTTCCACCTTAAACATTTCTTAATATTCCTTTTGCTTTTTTGTGTATCAGAGCAACAGTATGTAGATGGCTAATGGATTTGTTAGATAAACTGCTTGTAATTCTGTCCATATGTTAAAATGCATAAAAAATTGGATTTTTAACGAATTTGCAATTAATGTGTTAACTTTAACAGGCATGAATGTTTCTCTGTTAAAATACAAAGAGAAAGACATTGACACATTAGTATCATCAGCTTATGTATTCTCATCTATTCTGTCTCTCGTCTCAGAGCTAAAAGAGCAGCTTCTCGCTCGCTCATCTCGTGTGGACGACATTGAATGTCTGAAAGCAGAGTTCAACAAACAAAAACGAGGAATCAAGGAACAAAATGAGGCTGAGCTGGAGAACCTGAGAAGGTTTCTATGTTTTTTTTTTTTAACTCCTTTGTTTGTGATCATATTTATTCTGTTAACCCCACTACTAAAACACATGCTTGCTCTTCATCCACTTGAAGGTACTTTGAGAAGCGGCTACAGGCAGCAGAAGAGAGTTACAGAGAGGAACTTGCTCTTCTCCAGCTGAGGCTGGTACAAGGTGCTCTGGAGGAGTCTGTGCTTTCAACTGCAAATGACAGGTATTAAAAACAGCATTTATTTCATTGTGATGAGTCTCCTTTAAAGCAACGTTCTGTAAGTAATGTCAGTTTTTGTATTTGTTATCAGTTTCATCTCACAAAATGAAAATAAGGAGGAAAATGAAACCAGCCTAAACCAAGAAAAACACACGGTACAGACAAACGATGAAATGCTCACAGATTATTAGAAAGAGGCATTTTTAGGTTATCATCAGACAAATGGGTGGTACAGTGCACTCTAAATATTTAATACTTATTCTTCAGCTAGGTTGCTATGTGAAAATTGCCTCCCCATCTCTATTGCACATCACTTCAATGTAACATTCTGATTTATTTTTAAGGACTTACTGGACACCTTACAACTTCAGATGGAGGAAAAACATTCTATGGATTTGTCAAACCTTCGATCTTCTCTGACTGTGTCCTTTGAGGAAGAAGTGCAGCAGGTCAGACAGCGACAGCCGCACCACCATTTACCATTTAAAATTTAAGTTAAAGTTACAGGCACATCATCCTCAGTCTCTCATTCATCTGTTTCTATATCACCACTCGTGTGTTAGGTGCGCTCTGAGCTCACGGACCATTACTACGTGGAGCTGCAGGAGATGAAGACTCGCCATGCCCTGGAGATGGAGCAACTTAAAGCTAAAGTCTCTGAAGGTCACTTGCGAGGTATTTTAAATATTTTCACATGTAACAAATATGTCCTTTTGATTAGTGTTTTTATTAATGCTGCATTTTCCTCAGACTCTGACTTAACATTTGCTGTCAGTGTTTTTACCAAATCAAGTTTGAACCGGTTTTACATACCACACTTAATTTTTTAGAACTTACGAGAATCCAAGCAGAAGCTTCCAGACAAGTGGAGGTAAGAGGAAAACTAGACCATCCATTTTATAATTCAACACCACGTTTATAAATAATCTGATGCCATTGGGATTTTTTTTTTTTTTAGGCGGAGATTGAATTGAGGCTGTGGTGTCACAGTGAGGAGCTGCACAGCAGGTTGACAATCATCCATAACCTGGAGAATAGATTGGCTGCCTTAAACGAACAATACAAAGCTGAGGTTCAGAACACACAAAAGGTACATATAATGCATCCCAGGTGTAAAAATGTACAAAACTGCAATACAAAACGGGATCTGGATACATGCCCTCTGTTTGGTCTATCTAGATGAAAAAGGATTTTGCTGCGGAGCTCAGTAATCTGGAGGAGGCTCTAAATGAAGAGCGTGAACAAGTTGATGAGATGAGGAGGCTGAGAGAAGAACTCCAACAGAAGCATGACGCTGAGATAACTGCTCTGAGGTCAGACCTTGACACAGGAGCTGAGGAGAGGGCACACGGTGAAAAAGCGCTTTCAGAGGAAAAACAACACGTCACGTCTCTACAGACTGCGCTGGACAACCATGAGAGTAAGGGATTCAAAAAAAAATCATAATAATAAAATCTCAGTGAATGAAGCACCTATGTTTAAGTGACTTTGTGTAAATTTATGGTGTTTATTTGTAGATTCACAGGGGCTGACAGTAAGTCACAGCAGAGGAGAACAGGATATGAATAATCAAACAGAGGTCATGAAGCTCAGCAATGGCCTACAGGAGCCGAGTGACGAGCAACTGCAGCAAACAGCTGAGAAGTAAGACCTTTGAAACAGAACAAGACTGCTTAAAGTTGGACTTTGATTTTTTTTTTTTATCCATTGTTGGCTCATTTAGACAATAACAATGACAACACAATATGGAAACAGATCTCAGTCAGATCTTCTAAAACCAGTCTTACATGTAAACATTCAATTTAACTTTTCGACTTGGTCAAACTCTATGCTCAGATCTGCTAATGAAATTGTGAAACAAGTAGCTAGAACATAATTATAACATTCAATAAATTGCTTCAGTTTGACATAAAATAAATGTGAAAGCTTTAGCATGGTTTTGTTTTATATAATTGATGCATGTTCTGTGGTAGAATGTTGCATACATAATTTTCCACATTCAGACTTACAAAAACGTTGTTTTTGTATTCAGGTTTGAGAAAGAAAAACAACTGTTGGAGCAGAGTTTGGTCCAGAAATATGAAACCTCTCTGGCAGAGCTGAGGAACAAACATCAAAATGAGCTGGAACATGAAAGGGCAAATCTACAGAACAAACACGCTGCAGAATTGGATGCCCTCAGCGTGAAGCACAGAGAACAGATAGATTCACTCAGTGCCAGTCACAGAGATCAGCTTAGAGAGACGAGAGCTGACCTTGAATCACAACACAATGCTCAGATTGTTGCGCTGGAATCAGCCCTCCATTCCAAACAAACGGCAGACCTTCAAAGTCTGGAGGCCGCGTTATTGGAAACCAGTCAAGCTCAGCTTGAAGCTTTGGAAGCTGAGTTAACACGTAAGCACCAAGACGAGAAGGATGAATTGGAGAAAAGGCTGCTGGGTAACATGGACACCTTGGAGGCTACATACCTGAAGGAAGTGCAGGTAAGAATGCTCTACTTTAAAATTGTCAAGAGACATGGCATTTCCTTCACCATCATGTCTTCATACCAAGTGTTTTAAACAAAACTAAATATCTTTCAATACGTTTACTTATGTTGCTCTTGTCTAAGCATTTATATTGTGTATTAAATTCCACAGCCCTGAGAATTTACACTGTTTATCTGCTGTCTATTTAATTCCAGTTGCTTCGTGATGAACTGATGCAGCTGGAAGAGAAGCACCAAAAAGACCTGAGTCACCAAATATCAGAGAGGGAGGAGCTGAGGAAGGAGATGGCTCAGGTGCACATGGAGAAGTTCAGTGCCATGGCGGTAGAGTTCACCCATGTGCACAAGGTGAGGAGTGGGAAGAAATGATCTGGTCTAGTTCTCATGTCCTAAATGTTTAATAGTCTGACAGCGTCTGACACTGTTGGCTTTTGCCAAACTTATTATTTATTTGTTTATTTGTTTGTTTGATTTTAACAGGCTGAGCTGGCTGCCCAAAAAGAGTCCTTGGACATCGACCACTGTAAAGCTTTGGAGACACTGAAGAAGCAGGTACTAGCATAATAATTGATTTTATTTTACTGGTGACTACAAATAAATGTAAAAAATATGAGATAATTGCATAATCTTATTACAGAATATATTTGATTTCTTTGCCCAGTTCTCAGTATAACAAAGATCATGAGATTTTACTTTATTTCTCGTTTGCTTTGTTTAAGGTTCTAGAACTTGAACAGCAGCACAACAATGCTCTCCAGGAACTGACACACACCTACAGTGCAGAGAAAGAACACCTTATCCAAGAACATCAGCTCAAGCTGCAGGTCTGTTTTGGTATTTTCTGTGTTTTTGGTGGAACATGTTTTCTTTCTAGTTCAGTGATTTTGTTATTTTTGCCAAGTTTGACATTTTTACTTTTCTTGGCTTTCTCCTGCACAAAAAAGTAAAAAGATAGTCATTATTCATTACTTGTAAATGCTGTTTCTGTGAAGGCACATAGTTGTATTGGGTAGTGCAAAACAAAATAGCTTTCTCCTGCACAAAAAAGTAAAAGGTCATTATTTATTACTTGTAAAGGCTGTTTCTGTGAAGGCACACAGTTGTATTGGGTAGTGCAAAACAAAATAAATACTGACTGTGTGGTTTTTAACAAGAACTGTCTGTTTGCATGTATGTTGTAGGATTTGAAGAGTGTCTCTGCCCGAGAGCTTGAGGCCTGTCGTCGAGAGCTTGAAGAGGAATCGTCAAGGCAACGTCAGCACTTTGTTGAAGAGGTGGAGCTTCTCAAAATCCAATCAGAGGAGAAGTTACAGGATAAAATTAATCAGCTAAAGGTAAAAGTGGATGATGGGGTCGAGGGCTGTGGGGCACAGTATGTGATGTCATATATGGTTCTGTAGTTCCTGTGTGTTTGACACTGCCCTAATACTACTAATACTGTATTCTGTTGTACACTGTCACTGCAGATGTTCTCATAATCCCTCCATCATCATATATGTTGAAATGCTCTAATCTGTCTGTCTGTCTCTGTTCTCCTAATCTGATGACTGTTGGGTCACGTGTGTGTTTGTGTTGCTGCTGTTTGTACTACTGCAGAACAGGATAGTGTTTTGATCCTGTATAGGATTTAGGATTAAACCATCTGAAATTTGAGGGCAGTGGTCTGCCACAGTTCCACAGAACATACATGGAACATGGAAATTGCATGGCCAGTGAATTGCTCTGTTAAAAACGGCACCTCATCACTGTTTTCGTTATAGACGGAGTTTGAGGATCAAAAAGAGGTGGAGCTTGAAGACCTGAGGCGGAGCTTCACGTCTGAACAGCAGAAGAAGGAGCAGAGCTACACGGACAAAATGAGCCAACTGACCACACAGCTGCAGCAGCTTGATGCTGTGGTCACCCAGGTACTGTTACATCAACATTATATCCATTCACAACCGTAGGAATAATAATAAGGAATAAGTTAGTTAGACTAATGTAAACCTTGACGTGGTGTACTAACACATGCTTTTATAGAGTGGAGGGATAGAGTTAACATAGGAAGATACTAGGCCATATTCCTGTCAAGCTACAGGATTTTTTTTGTGTTTATAAAACTAAAAACAAAACAGTACTTATTGTTAAAAAATGTATGAGGAAAACTGCAGGATGTACATGTTAATTATCCTCACTGTTTTTAGTAAGTGTGGTGCAAAACTTCTCTGCAGAAATTTCTTAAAAGTTTTTAAATAACCAGTAGGAAAGGCTACTGTTTTTAAGTTGCAGATTTTCGTTGACTTTATCTTGGTTGTTGCTAAGGTGTTTGTGCCCATATTTTTGCAATCATTCACAATGAACACACTAATTAGCATGACTGTATGCATTTGTTTCCATGGCACCTTCCTGACTTCCTGTGACATACTAACACACGCACCTCATGAGGTTTGCGAAAAGAAGCTTAAGAGAGTTTGGGAGGGTGCTGTTGCCACGGCTACCTCATTGTTTGGTGCAGGTGGCTGCATGAGGCATGTTTGATGGGAGGGAAAAAGAGAGGGAAGGCATAGTGATAGGAGAGCGAGACAAAAGAGTCTGAGGACAGAAAGGTAAGAAAACACTAAATAGAGAGAAAATGCACCCTACTAAAAACACTCAGGCTTTCCTCATGACTGAATCACTGTGGAACTTAAAGATCAGACAAAAATGTTTTTTATTTTGTTTTGTGTATGGTGAGTTTTTCCCCAAGTCTTTTTTTACACTACTAATCTGGCTGCTGGTTATTGTTAGTCATTGTTACGTCTGACAGTTGACATCTGTTGTTGATGGTTTTTAATGAAAGCTTTTCCCTTCCCTTCCAGGCACACACACACACATCCTATGCTGTTGTCATGTTCCTTGCTCTTTTGGGATGTTGTTCTCCATGCGGTTGTGTTATTTTTGTCGTTAAACTCTTGTTGTTTGCTTTTTGACATTGAGATTGCCTCTGAAGTGTCTCGCTCTGTTTACCTGTGTGAGAGTAACACACCACTGAAAAAACCTTGGCACTAATAGTTTACACGTTTCCTTTGTTTTTCAGCTGCGGGCTGAGGTTGACTGTCTGCAGGGAGAGTTGGAAGGAAAGCGTGCTGAGATGGAGACCCTGGACACTCTTCTTCAACGGAGGGAGCGAGAAAGTCAGGAGGGAGGCAACCTTCTGAAAATGCTCACTGATGATTTACACTCTGCCAAAGAAGAAAGGTTCAGTTCATCTTTGTCTTTGTTTGTGTATGTCATGTGCATGAAAAGTGAGAAAATGACCTGATACTAGATGTTTTTGTGTGTACTCTTTAGACAAAGATATAGTTTCATAATGAAGATGGTATTAACATTTACCTTGTGTCAATGTTTGAAATTAAATGTTGCAGAATGTGAATCTCCAATAAGCAGATAATAACAATTCTCTTTATTTGATATTTGTTTATCCAGACACAAACTGTACAGAGGCAGAATTTGAATCTCCATTAAGCAGATAATAACAATTATCTTTACTTGTTTATCCAGACACAAACTGTACAGAGCTAATGAAAAGCTGAGTAAGGTGCTGATTGACATGGTACGTGGCACTGTTGCAACTGAAGAACTAATTGGACAAAAGATCAGTGCCAAAACTGTTACATCTCACCAGAAGAGCTCAGTGGGGATAAAAGACTCAGAGGAGTCAGGTGTGTTTAATGTAATTAATTCTGGTTGACATGAAAGATAAAAAATATCTTTTTAAAGGTGTGATATTTAACAAAAGTATATACTGTATATCATTACCTTCTCCCTTAGGTATTACAGTTGGTGACATGTCAGCGGAGGAACAGGAGCTGACGCAGCTTCTCTGCGAGAGCCTGCTGGTCTCAGATTCTCAGGTCTCTCCTGAAGGAGAAGAAGCTGCTCTAAATGCCTGCAGTAGACTGCGAAACACTGTGTGCACTTTACTAGAGCTGCTCAACCACGCTAACACGCAGGTTTGAAGATTGAAAAGTTTTAAGACTTATTGAATAAACTGTATGAGCTGCAAAGTAATCAGTGGTGTTTTCTTTTTTTCTTGTCCAGCTGGAGGAGACTCATGATGTTCATCTTTCTCTGGAGGAAAAGTTCTCTCAGGGCAGAGAAGACTCAACCCAGCTCCTTAAGCAGCACAAGCTCTTGGCAGAGCAGCTTGAGCAGGAGGCGAAGCTCAAGAGTCAACTCCAGCTGGAGCTGCACAAGGCCGAAGGTAAACACCACATGATTGCAGGCTTTGTTTCACACCACACGTCATGTCACTAAGTTACGGCAGCGAAAGAACCAACTCTTTGTGTGCTTCATTTCTGTCTTCATCAGGTTTCATCACCTCTGCTAAAACACATGTTTACCATATCTATTTACCATGTAACTAACAACATTCTGAACCTCACTCTGTTTACATTGTCTGTGTAAAGGTCTCCTTGATGGATACATGGCTGAGAAAGTGACCTTGGAGGAGTCCCTGCAGCTGAGGGAGGCCCAAGAGGAGAGACTTGTAGAGGAGTTGGAGGATCTTAAAAAGAAGCTGCGACGGATGGAGAGTCTCAGCGGAGAGCTGGACAGCCTCAGACAGAAGCACCAGGAGCTCAGTGAAGAGAATTCCATTCTCCTCCGTCAGAAAGAGCATCTGTGCTCTGACCTCGGGGAAAGAGAGAAAGGTGAGTGGACAAAACATTCATATTAAGTATCTTCAGCTGTAACAACTATTACATCGAGCTTCACTGTGCATTTATGTAATATCTGTGCTCAGGTGTGTCTTCTCTTCATAGGTCTTTGTCTCAATATAGATTCTCACACAGGTTTGTGAATCAGAATGGAGTGGTGGAATTTGAATGCAGTATTTTTTGCAGTGCAGATTGAAGTTGCATATACATTTGTAACAAATACTCTGAGTTTTGTGTGTTCTGTTTTAACATCTGTATTCATACTATTATTTGTGAAAAACTGCATTTGGTGTATAATCTGTATGTAAGAAAGGGATGTAGGTTTCCAGCTCTAATGGTTAAGCCAGAGAAGGATATTTATAGCAGTTTGACCAACAGGGGGCCTCCTGCAGAACATCTAAATATTGTGGATTTTAGATCTTCAACTGGATACTGTCAGGTTTGTGAGTTATGACAAGACTGGGAAGGAACTAGTTTTAAAATTGGTTTCTTCTTTGAGAGGCCTCAGGTTTTTCGGAAGGCTCCTTTTTTCTTAAATATAGACTAGAATTTGGTTTCTTTTCACAAGAAAATGCACTGAAAATACAAGTATGGATTGTTTACTAGTTTCAGAAACTTTTATATACATTTTCCTAATCTTTTTTTTTCCTCTCATTTTGTAGCTCTGCTTGCAGAAACTGAGCGTTTCTCTCCTTTTTTAGCTCTGCTTGCAGAAACTGAGCGTTTGGCTCAGGACAGACTGGACTTGCAGCGACAGGCTGAGAGAGATCACCGGTCGCTGTCTCAGCGCCTGCGTGTGTTGGAGAGAGATTTGGAGGAGCAGGAAACAAAGGGTCTGGAGACGGAGCTGCACCACAAGACCCACACTGATGACCTCAACCAGCACGTCCAGGCACTTGAGAAACAGCTGAAGCACGAACGGCAGTTTATACAGGTGACTTATTTCTTTACATTGAAATGTAATCTAAATAATGGTTCCATCAATATTCCATTTGTACATTCTTCCTCAGTGAAGTGTTTTACAGACAATGTCCTAATGTTGATAATAGCTTTTAGTTCATCAATGTCTGTACCTACAGGAGCAAACTGTAGAGCGTGAACATGAGAGAGATGAGTTCCAGCAGGAGATCAGGAGACTGGAGTCCCATCTCAGACAGACTAGTGTGGATAACAAAGGAAACAAGGTGAGGCTTTCTAACAAAATACTAACAGTACAAGAATAACTTGACAAAAGTTTATGAATGAGTATTAACATGTTGTGTGTTTTGCCTAAAATGAGCAGATTCATTCTGGGTAATTGTCACTTTTGCATGTTAATTCAAGTGTGATATTATTATTGGCAATATTGATGGTGGACCAGCTAAACCAAGTATGGAAAAAACTATTCAGAGAGAGGTTGTTTTTTTTCTGTGTGTTTTGGTTGTTTGATTGTTTGTTTGATATGAGCCTGACATTTGCTGTGTGTTTATCTCTGCTGAATGGATTGCTGTAGTTTGAGGACTTGGCTCTGCAGGTATGATATCTCACGGAAGCCTACGTCTCTTACCTGTAGCTCCTTGGATGCATGTGCATGATGTGTAAATCAATGTAATTATCAGTAGTCTGATGCCAGAGCTTACATGTAGTTTTCTACTCCCTTTTTACTGCTTATTGCTAAATTGAATTTACACCTTGTATGTCCTTCACCTTCAAGTCTTACTGCATAGCATAGTACAAGTGGCTGTCCACGATGAATGGCTTTCCTAGCTTCAAATCAAATTTGATTCTATTTTATTTTCTAAATTAAACTTCAGAAACTTGGTTTCTTAAATGCTCCTATTTACGTTGGCTTTTAGGTGGAAAGTCTACAAGCCATCATCAAAGACAAGATGGAGGACCACGCCTCCTTACTTGCAGCCAACCAGCAGGCTCAACGTGATGTCGCAGAGCGCAACGAAGAGATTGACAAGATGGCTGGACGAATCAGAGAGCTGGAACAAGCTCTGCTCAACAGTGCAGACAATAACAGAGCCATCAGTGAACTTGAACAAGAACTACACAAAACCAGGCTTCGAGAACAGGAGCTGACACAAGTGAGAACAGATGTCAATTTAAATTCAGATTCAGGGTTAATTTCTTCTCTCGTTTTTTTCCCTAAGAGTTTCTTTTCATCTTCAGGATAAGCAGGCGCTGGAGCAGCAGCAGCTCTCCAACAAGCTTCAGATCTCAGCCCTGCAGTCCAAACTGGACGAGACCAGACACTGTTACCATGACAACATGCGTGACCCCACCCAGGAGCTGAGAGATGCTTTGGACACAGCTCAGCAGAGCTTACAGAACAAAGAGCGAGAGGTTTGTGAAAATACAATCAGAAAATCTGTGACATTAAAGTGGGCTGATTTTTGTCTTCTATATAAACCAGTGTTTTATTTATTCATTTATCATAAATGTATTTTATGTCAATAAATAATATATCGTCCTTTAGGTTGAGACTGTTCTTTCTCAACTGGAGAATGTTCAGAGCAGCCTGATCATCAAAGAGACTGAACTCAAACATCTCACTCTGCAGCTGGAGCTGCTGTCCAATCAGAATGCAGCTCGTGTGAACGAGCTCCAAGAAGAGATTGCTGCTCTGAAGGTCAGAGCTGATGTTGCTTCACAACATAATGATTATCTGTTAATGTCACATTTGCTAATTTTCACAAACTGTTTGTAGGAGAACGTTACTGCCCTAACTTTACTCCAAGAAGAGAGAGATGAACAAAGTGAGGTGGAGGAGACCAAGGAGGAAACCCTGCCCTCAGCGCTTCTACAAGAGAAGAACCAGGAGATTGACCACCTTAATGATGAGGTTCAAAGACTTGAACAAGAACTTGAGAACATCAAGAACAACAAGGTGAGTAAAGACTGAACTTACAGCAGTAAAACTGTAAATATGTGTACATATAGGCTATGACTAATTGTCAATGTTTTTCTTTCTTTCCCCACAAGAATCTGGAGGTTGAGCTTGATGATCTCCGCTCACAGGTGGAACATCTTCAGTCTGAAATAACAAGGTTGCGTCAAGACAAAGAGGAGGAGGAGGAGCGTCTTCATGAGGTCATCAGTACGCTGCAGGCAGAACTGGCCACACTGGGACCCAACCTGCACGAAGTCAGTGACTCTCAGGACGGTGACAGCATCAACCCTTCTCCTGCCCGAAGTCCTGAACCTCAGCAGGATCAGCAGAGGAGGAGTGAACCGAGTAGCCTGAAGCAGGAGCTCAGTCTCATTCACTCTGCCTCCTCTCGGTCACTCCGGTCTCGTCTCAAAGTGTTACAGGGTCAGCTTGAGACTGCGTTGGCAGAAAGAGAGGGATTGGAGCGATTACTGCTCACCCAGGAGGAGGAGTACAAAGGACACGGGCAGGAGCTGGGGAAAAGGCTGAGAGCTGAGAAAGAAAAGGTGGATGAACTTCAGGGTCTCCTTAACCTTAAGGAAGCTGAGCTGGAGGAGATGAAAGTACAGGTGGAGGAAGAGAAGAACAAGAGGAAAGTTACTGAGAAAGAGAAGGAAAAGTGGGAATTTGAGGCTAAAGAGGCAGCTTCCATGCATGAGGAGAAGGCTCATCTCAACACTCAGCTCACTGAGCTCCAGAATAAGGAACTGGAGCGTGTGAGAGAGATCGAGACCCTTAAAACAAAAGAGCAGAATACAGAAATCGAAATAAGTGTCCTGAGAGAAACCAGTCTCACACTTGAGAGACAAATTCAGGAGGTGAGAGCGGAGTTGGTCGACATGGAGAAACTGGTTGATGTCAAACAGGCAACGGTCCAAACACTTGAAGCTGCAAATAAGGAGCTTTCTGCTGAGAATGAAGACCTCAGGAGGAGAGGGCAACAACTCCAAGATGACACCGAACAGCTCAAGCAGGGAGTGGCTTCACTTAGGAGTCGTGTCCAGGATGTGACTGTTGAGCTTGAAGAAAAGAAAACGCTTCAAGAGGAGGCTCAAAAAGAGATACTGGTTAGTGGCCTGATTTTACCATATGAGTGTAATTCCACGAACACTGCTTCCAGAATACTTTGTGAAAAGGGTGTGCATTGGTTGGTAGCCTTGTCCGCCTAAATTAATTAGAAACAAACATAAAGACTAGTCGTCTATTTGCATTGTATTAAATTGGTTTTGACCTAATTGGGGGCAATTGGTGGTTAAGGAAGAAGACTTAGGTCCTGAAGGTTTCAGGTTCTAGTCCACCAGCTGCGGCTTTGCACTGTGTATGTTTTTGCACAGAATGAGACTAAACACAGTGGAGACACGAATAGACTACAGATAAACCAAATGAAGGGAGTGCAGAAACTAAATAACTTGAAAAATAAAGCATTTGGATGATAGAAGATAAATAACATCCAGATTGGTCTGGGTGCATCTGTGTATGACACAAACACCTTTTTGTTTGTTTTTTTTTTAGTTTGCAGGCACTTATTTCTACATTGTTTCATGTATTATAAAATAAAAATGTTGCTGTTTTCCCTGATAAAGTGTTTGTAAATACCCATCTAGTCAGTTGTCCAAGGTCTCCCTCGTCAGTCAGACTAGATTTGAAAATTCAGCTAGCCCCACGTCCACCCAGGAAATGTTTCTGCCACTGTTTTTCTGTGCAGTGTATAGATGTGCTGGTGACTGTGGACCAGACCGCATCTGGTTGTTGTTAGGAGCGTGATGACGTGTTAGAGTGCAGCCACAGCAGAGTCGCTCACGCAGGAAGTTGAGCTAAAATGAGGAAGGGGGAGGAGAAGCACAAAACTTTGCTATCTCAAGTTTTTGATTTCAATACTGGTGCATTTGGTTACATTTGTTTCGCTACATTCTCTGCCAGTAGGATGTGGTAAGCAAAGAAAAGTTGTTTGTTTTTAAGTAATGCATTGAAACTGCTGCTTTAGCATCTGACTTGTTTTGTAACGGTGCACAGATGTTTTTGATGTAGCTCCGATAGTCACAGTGTACCATTGCTAGGTTATGCTTGGTAGTAGATCATGATAACGCATCACATGTATAAAATGAAGCAACATCTGGTGCTCATTATGTTTTATTGCTCTTAGTTTTTGTGCATTTAGTTATATTTATTTATTTTATTTTATTCACTTTTTGCTTTTTGGTAACTTGACAAGGCTGCACAGTGACACCTCCAGGGCTCATCATTAGTTGTACTACAGCATGTTTTGGCCTTGTATCTTCAGCTGAAGCAGGCCTTCCACAGACTGATCAGTCCTGGGTATGTGACTAGTGGTCATGTCAAAGGAGTTGGACGACAGAACTTTGATTACCAATTGCTGTGTTCTAAGCAAATGTGTGTTTCCTTAGCATGTGGTTCTGGATCAGATCTGTCTGACAAGACATCTAAATGGATGAGTGAGAAAGATGATTTCAGAATCCATGGAGCTGTTGTTCCTGTTGACCTCAATTGTCCACCGTAACAAATGTAAATAGTTAGTAGAAAAGCTAGAGCAAATGTCAACTACAAATATTTTTTTTGTGAATCATCTAAACCATATCTAATGTTTCAAAGATTGTGTGCATTTTAGAAGACTATTAATGTATGTTACATGTTTTGAATCTGAAAGGTCTTTTAGCTCAATGGGATCAGTGTGAAATATTGTGATATTTCATGTTGTGATTCCGTATTTCGATGTCTTTCAGACTCATGCTGAAGTGACCCTGGCTAAAGCCGACGGTGCCTTGAGACAGAAGGAGGATGAGCTCATCAAACTGAAGGAAACACATGAGGCCCTGAGGACAGAGCTGACCACAGTCAAACAGGATCTCAGCGTCACTGCAGAAAGGGCTGAGATACTGCAGGAGGATGGACAGGTAGGATTCACAATACTGATCATATATACTGTGGCTTAACATGAGTTATTCTGTGGGTTCTGAACTCAGATACCTCTGTCTGCCAGAACAAAGACCGTGCCGTTCTTGACCTGGAAAATGATAACCAGCTACTAAAAGCAGAGCTTCAGAGTTTACAGGAGAGTCTGGCTGTGCAGGAAGAAGAACTGGCCAATCAACAGAAGGAATTAAAACAACTGCAACAGCGCTGTCAAGGACAGGGATACAAACAGAAGGGTAAAACCCAGGCCTTTATGTACTTACTCTGCAAATAGGTGTTTAATGTAAAAAATGTTTTACTCCCTAAAAAAATGTTCTCTTCATGAAATGTTTAAACTTTTATTTATTTATTTTCATCTTAGACTTTTCTCACAGAGCTTTTGCTGACATTGTGAGTGTCTCCCACGATGAAGTCTCTCTGAGTTCTCCAGAAGTACTGAGGAGACAGGAATGTTTGGAGGATAGAGTCCTTGAACGTTTTCATGCTTCCATTCTGGAATCCCGTCTTTCTGAGCTCAGTGCTCTGAACAGCACAGGCCTGACTTTGCCTCAGATCAAGACCTCTCCCAGGCTTGTGATGGAGCCTCCTCAATCTCGGACCCTCACACCAGACCCACCCTCACACAGTACACACTCTCCACGTACAGTGTCGGCCTCTGACAACTATTCTATCATCGACTCCCTTTATACTGATAAAGTATGCACTCCAGTAGTTTAATTTATCTTCTTTTCCATCAACTCTGTCAGTTATGTATAGATAAATGTCCGTTCCTTTGTTTTTAGGCAGAAGATTTGGAAGAACTCGACCTCACAACACCTTCATCTCCACTCGGCTCAACCTCCTCCATGTCAGCACCAGAGTGGGCCAGTGATGGATATGGAAGCAGTGAGTATTTGCATGCAGATGGATGTGATGTATCTTTAATATAATCCCTTCAAATGAATCATAAACTGATTTTTTTAGGAGCCCCTTCTTAAGTAGAGTAACCTCAACGTACCAAGGCATTGCTTTTACTGCAATAGTAGTACTCACTGAAGTGTTATTACTACAGATTTTGCATCTTAACCAAACTTCTGCTCTTGTGGTTTAGATGTGAGTTCAGAGTTGGGTGCGAGGCTGCGAGAGGAGCTTGAACACACTGAAAGACTGGATGCTCAGTTTGTGGAATATCTGCGCTGCAGAGGAATGAACCCGGCAGCAAACACAGACAGTGCTGCAGGCAGCATGAGCTACAGTGATGACTTGCTATCACCAGAGCTTCAGGTCGGTTCGGTCAACATTTTGGCATTTGTTACACTGTATGTATTTGATATTTAGTTTAAAAATACTCAGTTTATTTTTGGGACGATCCTGCAGGGTCTGTTGAAGAAAGTGTATCAGGAGAGCTGCAGAATCCTCACCTTATCCCAGCGGCGTCCCACTTCGTCCAGCCAGTCTCATGCTTTCTCACTGAGTCAGAATCAGTGTCTAAGTATAGGTGGTCCCAGTCTGATGGACCAGCAGGACAAAACATCCTCAAACCCGCCCATGACCTGGCAGCAGGAGAAGAAGGCGCTGCAGGAGACTGTGATTGCTCTCAGAGAGCTGCTGTGTCGAATGGCACAGAGACAAACACAAGTGAGTCCTACTACGCTGTAGACCATAAAAAAAAATATTTGGGAATTGGGAAACAGTGTAGTTGTAGTGTTTAAAAAAAATGTAATTGAAACTTTCTGCTAATGTTTCCATTCTTCTTCCTCAGCATTTCAACAAATCTGAACAAGAGTGGCAGCGTTATCAGCTACCGGCTGATGTACAGATTGAGACTCGGTTACAAACAGAGCTGGAGGAGAGTCAGAAACAACTGAAATGCGCTCTGGAGACTCGCCAAGAACAACACAATAAAATTCATTCACTCAGGTACCGTACCTGCATAGAGCAATAAAGGACACTGTCATATTTTCAAAATGTTAATCAGATCAGCGCATGCTAACGCAGCAGGAGAAATGGCAGATATGGAACCATATTGTTAGTGTCAGTCTCGTCAGCTGAAAAATTTTTTTGCCTTTCGTTCTCCTACTGTAGTGTATTTTAATGTCTAGTTTCAAATAGTTACTGTTTTTTTAAATATGATTTGCAGTTTTCCTTTATGGTTGATCATACACTTAAGTTACTGTTCATAACTTTTTTTTTGGTTGTGCAGTTTAACTTTCTTCCACAAAAATTTGATTGTTGCATAAAAGTAAGAATAAATTGTTTTCCTTTTACCAGACAAGCTATAGAAGAAGGTGAGGAAGCTTTGAAGAGAGAGCAAACCAAAGTCCACGAGCTTCAACAACAACTGGAGCAAGAGAGAGACCTGACTGTCCGTCAGCACAAACAAGGAGAAGAAAGAAAAGAGGTAAAATATTATTCAAGATACAAGTATAACGGTGTATACTGTATTAAGATGTACTGTATATTTAATTAAAGTACTACAGTGAGTCCAGAGTATATTTCAGTTCAGTTCCTTTCATGCTCTGAAAGGTGACCCTTCCTTTTTTGTCCCCCTCCACAGGCTTTGCAAGTATCCCTAGAAGGTCAGAGGTCAGAGGTCACGGCTCTAAAGAGTGAGGTCGAGCAGGAGAGAGTGATCTCCAGCAACCTCAGACGAGAGCTTCAGATTGAACAGTCTCGCAGTGAGATGTTGGAGAAACGTGCGGACGACGCCCAGAGGCAGTTTGAAGACGAGCGCCAGCGATCTGTAAACCAGCAGGACGTCTACTTGAAAGAAAATTCTCACCTCCAACATCTCCTGACTGTAGCTGAAAGTCGCTTAAGTGAGATCCACTCCAAACTAGCTGAAGCTCACAACAAGCTGGACGAAGAAAGAGACCGCTGCTCCAGGCAGGTGGAGGAGCTCAGTCGCAGACATGAGGCAGACGCAGCCAGAGACCGGACGTTCATCTCTGAGATGCGTGCCCAGCTCGAGCAGGAGCGAAGGCAAGGGGAGGAGCTTGCAACCTTGACGAACAAACTCAGGGCCGAGTTGCTGGACTGCAGGAGGAAATGGGAAGAGAAGGACAGAGCGAGGAGAGAGGAGCTGCAGAGAGAACAAGAGGCTGCAACTCGGTGTCGTGTAGCTGCAGAGACATTGAAGATACAGAAACAGGAGGCTAGGCATGATTTGGAGGTGGAGCGAAAGCGATCCAAACATCAAGGAGTGGAACTTGCGGAGCTGAAGGAGAAAATTCAAGTAATGAAGGACAACGAGAGGGAGAGAGAGGAGCAGTGGGAGCGGGAGAGGACGAAAGGAAAAGAGGAGCAGATGGAGAGGGAGAGACGACAGGCGAGAACTAATAGCAAACTGGTAGGATACAGTCAAAGATGTTCTTATTCATTGATCATTGATTTTGAAGACATTTGACTAAAAACTAACTTTCTGATTTCAGAGTGAACTAGAGTTGTTGAGGCAACAGGATCAGCAGTGTATGCAGGAGCTGCACAACACCCTGGCAGAGCTGCAGAGAGAGGAGAAGGAGATGGCTGCTCAGAGGCTTTCTGGTAGAATAGGCCACAAACACAAGGCTGCATCTAAACGGCATCAGGAAAATCACATCAACGATGACGATGCCCAGGCTGGCAGCTCGCATCAAAACCAACAGGTACATATGTTGTTCTCATGTCAGTCTTATATAAAAAAAAATAAAAATCATAAAAATCTACTATAATGATGATTAATGGACTTCAATCCCTGTAGACGCCATCCATGCCACCAGCATCTGGTATGCTGGACCGGCTGCTAAATGAGAACTTGGAACTGACGGAGCAAGTAACGTCACTGAGTCAGGAGAGGGCCACTCTCAAACACAAACTCCTGTACCTGGAGACACTACGACACTCGAAGAACGAGCTTGCCAAGGTCACGTCAGAAACTGAAAACAGACCAATCAGTGATGTGACTTCCAACCACAAGGTCAGGAGGAAATACAGCTACATGAGCAATTTATTTCTCAATTCCTAAATAAAAGAACCCAGTAGCCATACATGGAAGCTTGACAGTATCTTCTTATTCTTACATCCTCTCCTCCTCCATTTGCAGATACAGCGTTTGTATGAGCGATACCTTCGTGCTGAGAGTTTTAGGAAGGCTCTAGTTTACCAGAAGCGTTACCTGCTGCTGCTGTTAGGAGGTTTCCAGGAGTGTGAACAGGCCACACTGTGTCTCATAGCTCGTATGGGAGCTCGGCCCTCCACCATGCTCACCACACAGCAAAGACCACTCGTGAGATTTAGGTCTGCTGTGCGAGCAGTTATCGCTGTATCAAGGTAAATGTTGTACCTGTATGTTAAAGTCATTTGACTTAATTCAGTCTTTATTTGTGAGTGAAAACTTTTTTTTTTCCAGAATGAAATTCTTGACCAGGAAATGGCAGAAGGCTATCAGAAGACTGTCTCTCACTGGTACAGTTAATGGACATGCTCAGGGTCAGTACAGTCAACAGAATCTAAGATGATATCTATCATTATAATTTGAGATTGTGAGTTGACCTAAATTTTCATTTTAGCTCCTAAAGTTGAAGTTCTACGTCAGCAGCAGCAACAACAACCAAGATCAAGTTTAGACTCGCCTCCAAACAGAGAGACGGTGTCAGCTCTGGTTCCACCGAGTAAATCACCCTTCAGGTTACACAATAGGTTTGGTCCATTCTTCGGCTAAGAATTTTTTTAAAACCTGAGATCCTAGGCAACAGTGTTGATGACTAACAAAATGTCTTTGTCACTCATTAGGACATACTCTAACTCCACTTTGTCTGGAGGAGCGCCCCAGGATTCAGAGAGATCCCTGACGGAATATATTCACCATCTTGAAAAAGTTCAGCAGCGTTTACTTGGAAATAAGGAAGGTGAGATACATTCACATACAGTTCTGTTTAAAAAAACACACCAAAAGAAAACACTGGTGACAGTATATTAAAAAATTCTCTCTTTATTCCACGTACTTACATCAAAAGACACAGAGCACTGGGTTTAGGTGTTTTTTTTTAAGTCATTTCAATTTTATCTGGCAACCTTCTTCACTCCTTTCTGTGCAAGACAGTACCAAACATCTTATATGTCAAAGACCTGGGATTGTTTCTTGTTTTTGCCATCAAATCCCACCCAAACCACTGTGTTCTATCATCTCCCAACATAGTAGGCAAGGCTCATTTAGCCGTGCCCCCTAAAGAGGAACGGAGGATACAGTCCGCCTGTTCCCCTGATATGATTGGTTACCGGCAGCGCTGGCTGCAGGAGAACAGGACGTGGCTGTACCTGAGCTGCCTGTCGCCACGTTACCTGAACGGTCCAGGTGAGTGTGAGTGTAACGGGCTCACTCCACCAAACAACAGGGCAGCACAGGAGCACAATCGTCTCAGAATGGGTACTGACTTGTCATCAGGCACCGAGTTCACCACTGGTTGGGGTTCATGTCGACAAAAATGTCCTGCAGGACTCTGGCAATATAAATGTTTCAAAATGACTCGTTTTGAGAATAAATATTTGAAACGTATTACATTTACATTAAAAATATGCTTTTATGGGGGGGGGGCACTCAAGTCAACAAAGAAACCTGCAAGACATTGATGTTTTTTACTGCAAAAGGTGCAATGTTAAAATACATACATTTGGAAAGATGTTATCTATTTAATATATATTTATTTTAGTGTCCATTTAAGAAGGCATTAGTCCTTAGTAAATTTCAAAATGGTGTCTAAATTAAATCTCAACAGATTATTATTTTTTTCAAATGTGATGCCTTATTTATGTTTCCTGTGTTTTTGTTTGCTTTTTTTCATTGTTTTTCAAATGTGATGTCTTATTTATGTTTCCTGTGTTTTTGTTTCTGTGTTCTTCAGGGTCATCTCTTCTCCACTTCAACCAGAAGTAACACGTCCACAGCAAAAGAATGTCACTTGTCTAGTTATTGGTAACACTGTATATGCCTTATATGTGTGTAGAATTTAATATCAAATGTGTGTTAAAACTTTTTGATGGTGTAAATTTTATATCTACATAAATTATTTTTTAAATTTGTTAAAGAATCTTTTTGTACTGTAAAGTATTTCGAAGATCTTTCAGGAACAATTGTTTTTATTGCAGTAGTTTTTGTCTGTTAATTTGTCTGACATATTTTCTACATTGTAAATAAGTCTTATGCCAATGGGTCCCAATGTGCACTGGTTTTATACTGGAAATTCACAACAAAACTGTAGAGTGCACAATTATATAGAGGTCAGCTAATTGTTTTTGTATTACCTGTTTTTACTATGAAGTTAATAAATATTTTAAATGTGCCATCAAAAACTAAACAGATGGGAGTGTTTTTGTGTTCATTAAAATTTAAATATATATATATATAATACTACAAGAAGAGAGACAAAAAACTAATGTTGGTTATGGCCAAAAAATGACCAAACCATGACTAAATGTTATTCAAACTATAGCAGAAATAGCAACATTTTGCTAAAATTGGATAAAACAAACTATACTACAAATAAATTATATATTTAAAGATAAAGTCCATGGGGCATCCGCCAAAAAACAAGATTGTTTTGTTTTTTCAGATTAAAAAAACATTGTGGACTACAAATAAAAACCAATATAGTTTAGATGTAGCTGAAAAATATTATTAACGTTAGCCAAAATTAGATTTGATAAACCGCGTTTATTGCCAAAAAATACCCTTGCATAGACATTAGAAACCGTTATAGTTAACTCCCATAGTGCTACTGCTATCTTGGGAGATATACTATTCTTTCGTAACAACCATTGAATAATTTGAGCAGTTTAACGTCAGCCAATGACAGTCTAGTCCGCTGAGAAGTTTGTTCGTTTTGTTCATCAGGACACACCGCTTGTTAGCCTCATATAGACAGTTGGGCTTCGCCTTGCAAATGTCAGTGACGTTTAAATCGTTCGTATCCTTGCTCGCGAAG